TCTGATTTGTGTTAATATGCCTGCCTTAAGCTTTTAAATTTGTGATTGGGGCTGATTGATTTGCTGTTGTATGTGCAAATTGACATGCAGATGAATAAACTGTTAAACTGCAAGTGGATTTCATTTAGTTATTGAATACAAATCAAACCAAGGGTGAAATCAATAAACCAATACAGTGCTAATATTTAAATGGGCCCTGGGCCACTTTGGCCTGTAAAATTTGGGCCCCGACATCAAAAAGGTTAAGAACCCCTGCTTTAAAATGACATCAAAAGGCCCACCCAGGCTCTTCGGGTTCAATAATTAAAACCTCTATTTTTTTCTGAATGTTGCAAGTGGAAGTTACAAATCCAGTTTTTACTATCATTGATGCATTACTTTAGTTTTGAAAATTGGTAAGTTTTGTTGGAAAATATAGAGCTATGTAGCAACTTAGCTTTAACCACTTCTGACACCATGTAGATTGTTTCAAGAAATGATCTGTGCTGTACCAAGTTATCAACAGAAAATATGTCTTATTTTCTTTGCTCCACAGCTCCATACATTTCTGTGTTTATATCCCACTCACCCCCCTTATGACATATTACATAAAGCCCTTAAGGAGCTGTAGCTATATTTAATAACTCTTAAGTGCTCATCCTTTGAGACCGAGACTCATCTCTTGAAGTCTGACCTTCAGGAAGTTTACCTTCAGCTAACTTGATCAATTCCCTGTGGTCCAGCCAATCTCCGGAAGCACTCGACGGAAGCTCCCAGCTGACTCCTAAACGAACTCATCAAGAACCTCTGTGCTCCATAATGCAAAGTAAAGGTATTTAGATGCATCTCTAGGTTTTGTTTTTGATTCTCTGATGTTCTCAGTCGGTTGTGGTTAACTAGCCGCTATTTTCTGTTCTTTTTGGTCATATCTCGCCAGTTTTTCAGTGGTTGTTCTCTTAATCATGTTATGTTTCCTATGAATTCTGAGAGGTGTGTACCTGAGAGAAGAAAACTTCATTAACCTGTTATAATTAATTATACCTACTTCCCTTTAAATCTGGCTTTTGTGTTTGACAAGCATTCAGCTGACAACTGGAGAAAATTCAAACAAGAATGGCGCAAATATTAAAATGCTGGTCAATCAGACATATCGAAGAAGGTGCAGGCGTATACACTGCTGAACTTATCTTGCTCCCATGTCGTGGATAAATCCGAGGCTTTTACATTTGCAGAGAGAGAAGATCCCGATGTTTTGTTGCAAAAGTTCACTGAACTCTGCTTGCCCACAAAGAATAGAAGAGTGGACAGCCACGTCTTCAACACAACAAACATACCTGGTGAGTCCATTTATTTGTGTTTCTTTCCACACTCAAAATACTTGTAAAAACTGTAACTTTGGAACTTTAAATGGTGAGCTGATATGCCACTGTGCCGTTTGCAGGATTGAAAGTGACAGATGATGATGAAGTGTGTGCTACACAAGACCAGCACTGCATCAGTTGCAACAGACCCCATTCCCTCTGGTAAATTCAGCAGTGCAATGCAACGACTGTGGAAAATGGTACCACGGCAGATCTGCTCCATCACACAAACCAGCATCCCAAGCTCAAAGTCGTGGTTACCATGCCCTGAAACTCTGAATTCAATCGAGTGCAATCAACTGAAATAAACTCTAGATCCACCGGATGACACTTTCTATACCCAGACAGCAAACCGACATTGAATCAACGTGGAAACGACGTCTCTCATGACATTGAAACAACGTTGATTTTGCTCATCGAATTAACGTTGAACCAACGCGGCATTCTTCAAAGCAAAATGAAAATCGAAAATTGGTTTGCTTTCATAACGTTGAAACAACGCGTTGATTTCAAGTTGATTTTCCGTTAGTTTTAAAAGAATGACGCGTCTGACGTTGGTTCAACGTTAATTCGATGAGCAAAACCATGTCAGATCAACGTTGTTTCGATGTCATATTTCCACGTTGATTCAATGTCAGTTTGCTATCTGGGTAGTGAATTCAGATGTTTTGCCTCATTACCATCTGTCATTTTCACAACATTCACAACATTGTGAAACATGGTTTTGGCCAAATAAAACTAAAGGTGGACACAGATGCCAAATGCAACCTTATATCTGCCCAACAACTACGCCTCATTCTACTCTCAGCTCACCTAAACACTGCTGAAAAAGCTTATTCCATATGGTGGACAAACTACCAATAATGAGATCACTGCTTGGATACAGTTAGGACCAGATACAGTAAAATCAAGAAACCGAAGTGTGGGAATTCTGTGATTTGTTTGACACAACAGTGTTTGGTTTCCGCATGGGGTTGTGGTAGCAAACACAAAGACAAAGATGAAGGTCAATAATACTTTAAAAGCTTCACAGGAGATTCCAGGAACAGGTAAACGAAGAAAACACAACATACACAGTGCCGGACCCGGAGCGTAACAAGGCGCTGAGCGACTATTACACACTGAAGCGCTGAGTGCTCTGTGTGTTTTACTGGACGCCGAGAGTTGAAGAATGTTCAACTTTGGGTAAAACACAGCGCTCATCACTGTCTATCCAATCACAGCGCAGGAGGGGCGGGACTAATACCACACAGACCAACCGCCACTTTCTGCTTGTACAACATCAACAGATGACAACAACAAGCATACTAACAGAACAAAATCATTTAAAACAAGAGCCAGAGCAAATACTCTTCATGTTTATATAGAAACCACACAGAAACAAACTAACTGTTAAATGACTAGTAACACTTCCACAGATATTCTCAACTGAACAAAACTGCGCAGCCAAAACGCTCTCAAACGCCCGAAGCTATGGTGGACTCACGACCTTAATGTGAGTGACAGCAAATGAAACGTGGCTGAAGACAAAAAAACTAAAAGTCCACGAAAGCAACTAACTGAACATTAACGTGACTCTTGGCAAACTGCCTCTATCACGTGCAGTAGAGTCCGTGCTGACCACTCTATGTGCGCCCAAGAAAATAAAACATATTCACTTACAAACCTGTTAATAAATCATTTGAATTGTATTCACTGTAATCAATAATAATAATAAGACAACGATCTGACCTCATTCATTAAAAATGTATACAGACAGACTGTTGAAAGTGCCCAATGTATATAAAGGCTACAAGTAAATTGCTATAAGCTATATTTAAAATGCTATTCATGAATTCAATCACATTTTTATGGGCGGTACAAAATAACTAAAAATGTCAGATATAAATGTACAATCTAATGGTCTTTGGTCACATTTTGTATTTTCTACAACCTAACCAACTGATTCATAAGAGAAGCTGATCATGAAAATGGCCGATAACAGATTACATAGATGAAGAAAGGTGTTGAGATTTTAGAAGGATAATAGTTTTATAATATAAATAACTTTCTGTATTAGAAAAGTATGTTTTTGTACTTGTGTGTGTGTTTACTCTAGAATTTCCAGCAAGTCCAAAGAAAAAATAATGGGATGGCCTTTTTTTCTGGGAATATGAAATAATGGTGACAAATGGCCAGGATTTTAAGAGTGACGTCTGAAGATAAAATACTGCATTAAGATTACAGATCATTGTGGCTGGGGACATAATTACTTCAGATTACTGTCTTAATTACTATACTACTTACAGAGCTCAGTTCACTGTATTACATCGAATTATTCAATAATTATTCACTTATGTCTAAACAGAACTATAATATTGTATGTATAGTACAGAAATAACTAACATTGAGAAACAATAAAAGGGGTTTGACTGATGGCTGATGACTAATGGACATCACACTATTCCAGACACTACTACTACTGTAAAACAAAATACAGTATGGATAGCAGTAGTCAGAATGTGAAAATTCACACTAAATGTTGAACTATATGACAATGTTTCATATGATAGACAATCACACACAATGGCACTCTCGTTGATGTGAAATATGAAGTGTTCATTAGTACACAGTAAAAGCAGCGTGTAGAAGTGGCTCTGACACAAGGACAGCAGCTCAGTCTCTGTCAGCAAATGTTGATCTCAATGTTTTACTAATGACGCTGTGTATCACATTTCAGTAAATGAGAGCGATTGGAGTGGGAAACATGATCCCTCATGAATCTGGCTGGCCAACTTGACTCTGTTCCAGTATATTTTACGGCATAATGCCCCTGTAATCACATTTGACCAATTGGACATTAGCTCTGTTTATGAGAAGTGAATATCGACTGGAGCCTTACGAGCCAACTTTGGTAAATGTGTATTGCACAGTCATTCTGCCTTTTCTAGGCCCATAACACAATTTAGTCTCCATTTGCACATAAAGCCAATAGTGTAAAGAATACTTTTCCTTAAGACCTTATCACAAATGTAAATACATAATACAGATATCCCTATACATACAAATGCATTAGCCTATTCAACACTTTGTAGATCAAACTTTATATTTTCATTGTGATATTTTTGAGGTTCTTGAAAACAACAATTCTATATCACAGTGTCCGGTTAAGCTTTAAGGTGTTACAGTGTAATTACACAAATAAGTACTGAGCAATATTAATTAACATGTAATTACTATTGGTTAGGGTTTGCTTTAGGGTTAGTGTTGTAATTATGTGTAATTTACTGTTATAGTACAGTCAGTACATGCAACGTGTAATAAAGATACCCAGTGTCCATGCTATACATATTATATCTTAGTATAATAACTTGCAATAGCACAGACAACTAGATTGGTTGCTAGGTGTTTGTTTACGGCACTTGTTAACCTCTAGATGGGATTTGAGGAATCATTAATGTACCTTGCACAAATGATTATGGGACAAATTGCCTTTAACACTTATAAAAACATTGCCTGAGGAATGATTAACAATAAAATAAGCAAACAGCACGGACACTGACCTGTAATTAGAAGAAGCTCCTAAAAACAATAGCATGCTGTTCATTTATATCAGTTAGTCCATACTAATCTGATTAGAGTGTAACATGAACTGTATAATGTAAAACGAAACATCTCATATGTTGATTGTTTGCCAGCAACAAAGGCTGACATGCGAGCGCATCAGGAGAAGTGTTTGGTTTGAGTTGGATCTGGCTATAATGGGTCCATTGAAACCCACAGAGAAACAGTGCCATGCATTTTTAATCAGACAGCTTCTGAGGTCGCTTTCTCCAGTCTGAGGATGTGAATTATGAGCACCTGTGGGACCAAACCGTCACAAAGACAATGACATTACCTCACGACAGGAAGACGTGGGATTTTCACTCCCAATAATTGATGCAAGACAGAGCACCAGAACTGGGGGCTCGTACGGGAATGTGCGCTGCGTGAAAAAACAAGTACAGAAGCAAATCTCTGGGATTACAGTATCTTCTCTGGTGGGCTGCCGCAGATAATTCCTTCATTGGACACATTGGTTGGATGGTGGAAGCATGAGGATGAGGGCATGGCTGAGCGTTGCGTGCGGGTTGATGAGCTTGTCCTGTGAGGCTGTGAGGAGTTGTGCAGAGATCCAGTGTGATGAAGATCAGCGGTGCTGCACTCAGAACAACAGCATCACGACGGTCCACTGCTGCAAACTCCCCCTGCACGCTTTCCTCCACAACCTGGACTGGGTCGTCCGGAAGCTGTCGGGACTGCTGATCCTGCTGTTGCTCTTCGTGGTGGGTTACTTCATCCAGCGCGTGGTGTGTCCACGTCCCCGCCGTCAGACACACGAGGAGCCGTCTCTTCTCCACGGACACGCGTCCCAGGACTCCCTCACAGGGGACTTCAGCTCGCCGGTGCTGCTGCTTCCCACTTACGACGAGGTCAAATATCTGCCCACATATGAGGAGATCATGATGGAGGGCAATAGAGACAGTCTGAGCTCGGAGGAGAGACGTACGACCTTGCAAACATCTAGAAGAGCCAGAAACTCACTATAACTGATTCTGGAACAGCTAATGCATTTATAATAATGTGTCCTGCTTGTCATTAGCAGCCTTTTTTCATTAAGGTTTGTCTCTTACAATGAATTTATTGTAATAACTGTCTCTAGACTGATCTATCGCATCCACACAAATATGCAAAAATGTGTTAGTAACTGATCTGAGCACATGTGCTTGTGTGTACAGTCTGCGGATTACAATTTTCATAAAATTGCGATTCTTGAAATGCCACATATTTTAGATGTATCCCCATTTTTTTTGTGGTTTAAATTCAACAAAAATTAAACATAAAAAGCTGGCCAAATATCCTTTATCAAAACACATGCTGGTCTTACTGTGCACGTTACAGGTATCAGAACCAATATAGAGAAGCACAGCTTATGAGACCATTGTTAGATTTTAAACGTAATTGTATAAAGTTTACTTTATTTTTCTCCCTGTTTACCAGCCACTCACTTTCATGTCTTTCACGAGAAATGGCTGAATTTATGTTCTGTAAATCCGACAGGCTCTGACTGCACACACACACAAAAAATGAAGCAATCAACTATTAATTATAAACTAATTTAAAACAAAATGCTTTTTACTTACATATATTTGTTAGATATTTTACAATCTAGTTACAGTAACAATTCACGAATATTTTGAATAAGAGATAACAATGTCAAATTTTGTGAGGCATCTGAAAAACCACAGACAGAAGTTGAAAATGAAATTGAGGACTGGACTTTATTCTGTTATGTTGTTTATTTGATAGGTGAACTGTCTTTGTAATGTTAAGTGAAGGAGAGCTAAACGGGAGATCCGCCTGCGAGTTCTTAAAGAGAAACACACTTTTCAGCTGAACATTATAAATCTCTATTTTTCTGCACTAAACTAGTGAATTTTCCCAAGATATTTTCAGAGATGATAAACAAGATGTTATAGAATAATAATTTAATAAAAACCCAATTTTGACTGACTTTCAGTCTACATTTAGACTTTAATGAAAACGTACCAGCGCAACATCTGACGGGTTTTCCCAGATCGCATCACATATTACTTCTAATTAGTACTGAAATTAACCAATAAAAGAAATAGTTCACTTAAAATTTTAAGTTCTATCATCATTTACTCACCCTCAAGTTGTTTCAAACCTGTGTGAGTTTATTTCTTCTGCTGAACACAAAATAAAATATTTTGTAGAATGTCTGTAACCAAACAGTTGATGGACCACATTGACTTCCATAGTATTTTTTCCTACAATGGAAGTCAATAAAAGTGTTGAGAAGCAGCTGAAATGCTATATTTTTCTTAAGTAAAAGTCTTAAGTATTTTTATTTTACTTTACCTTGGGAATTCAATGTTTACTGTGCAGCTGCGCATAACGGGGAGCACGCAAGATAAGACCGCCACAATAATTAAGAGCATTGATTAAGAACACATTTAACCAAAAACCTGTCTGTCTGTGTTTGGGCATCCTGTGTTCATTGGTTGTTTTCCCGCCACTCCTTAGTTGCCATGGACACCTTAATCAGCCATTGTATCACCTTAATCAGCTGTGTCTTGTTTCTTTGATTAGGTCCCTGTGCATTTAAGCCCTGTGTTTTTCCTGCTCAGTTGTCGTCGTCGTTGATGTTGATCTGGTTGTAATTTGTGCCGTACGAGAGATTTCCTAGTATTTCTGTAAGTTTGAGTTTGATTATTAAATAGTGCTGCAAATTAGAGATGGGCAAATGAAGCCTCCCCAGATAGCAAACTGACATTGAATCAACGTGGAAATATGACATAGAAACAACGTTGATCTGACATTGTTTTGCTCATCGATTTAACGTTGAACCAACGTCAGACGCGTCATTCTTTCAAAACTAACGGAAAATCAACTTGAAATCAACGCGTTGTTTCAACGTTATGAAAGCAAACCAATTTTCGATTTCATTTAGCTTTGAAAAATGCCGCGTCTGACGTTGGTTCAACGTTAATTCGATGAGCAAAATCAACGTTGTTTCAATGTCATGAGAGACGTCGTTTCCACGTTGATTCAATGTCAGTTTGCTGTCTGGGTCATGAAGCACGAAGGCTTTCCCCTGATTGTTCTGGGAAAAGATTCAAAGCTTCGAGTGTTGAAAACAGTGCCATCTGTTGTTTAGAAAAAATAAAGCTGCCATAACCTTGTGAAAGAAGCTTTGTTGGACGAAACAGCCACCATGATTTCCCTAATTAGTTTCATGTTATATACACAAATAAAAGTTTAAAAGTGCTTCTGTGTGAGTGTGTTGATTTTTTTCTGTGATAAAATCATTTACCCATTAAATTGTGGGTGTCAGTAGGATTATCAATATGATTTACACATATATGAATTGCACATGGCAAATATTTAATTTTCCTGAAATAATTGCATTCTTCCTATTAATTATATGACTGGATATTTACAAATGTAATTGGATAAGTCTGAATGAAAACTCACTCATAAATTAAGATCTTGATCAGGACAAGCTTTCTCGTGCCTTATCCCCTTCCCCGATCATTGAGTGTTTCTTTCCACACAAGCCTCAATGCGCAGACAAAGGCACGCCTGCCCGGTGGGGGAGCTCGTGAAAACTTTGAGGTGTTTTTGGAGTGGGTGATGGCTACCTGTGAGTCCCAGTTCACCAATGGCCACCTGAGCTCTCTGCCAAGATGGTCGATGAGCCTCCAGCCAAGATGGCCCCGCCACACCTGAAACTCCAGTCCCCATCCCCGTCCAGAGTTCAGAGAAGACTCCATTAACAAATTTACCAAACGGGCAGCTCTAGTAGTAATGAAAAGATCTATCTGTCATGGAAACTAGCACGCATAAACCGTCATTTAACAATTTAATAATCAATTAAAAAAGTTTATGTATACCTGTATGATATTAGGCTGTGGCCACATTGGACCAGCAGTTTGGAAAATGGATGGCCGGATGATTCAGCTGCGGCGCCATCTTCTGGTCAGGGGCGCAGATACATTCGATGTGCGACTCTCACAGTACTTTATGGGTATTCTCTCGCAGTTGAGCGCACATCAGTTGTACACTTGTTATTGCGATCAGGGTCGTATTATCGCAAGACCACAATCTTGGGGCCCACGTGATCGGGGGCCTCTATTCAACGTTTTTTGTATTAAGTACAAAGGCTTAAAGAGGAGCGGGAAAGAGATCTTCTGCAAAAGATCCCAAATAAACAGGATATTTCAAATCTTCCTCAGCTGTTGGATTATCCAGTCAACGGTCTGGATTTGGAGACAGTGCCATTAATGACTGCAGCTAATTCGAGTACAAACAGTGCATCTACTGGTACAAGTAGATGCAAGTTAGTCCCCGGGCTACTTGAACCCCAATAATAGGGTGTTCAACCCAGAGCAAGAGGGCAAGCTGCAGTCCTATCTTAAAAGAGCAGCTTGGTTTGAGCCCTAAAGAGGTCAGTGTGAAAAAAGCAGGGGAACACAAAATTAAACTATCCTACTTTCACTCATGAACACAATACAGAACTACATACAATTAAACATGAATACAAAATACACACAAACCAAGATGATTACCAAGATAAAATATAAAAAAATTCTGTTTCATTATATAAATGTTCCATGTGCTCAGGTACACAGGCTTGCATACCAGCTTGCAGTGAGATTTCACTGCAAATGCCCTGCCTCCTGGGAGAAAAAGGAGATGGCAGGGAAGGACTGGCTCACATCATTTCTCCAGCGTGCCACCTCCCTGTCCATCCGCCACCCCCAAGCCACCAGCATGCAGCGCACAACAAGTTTTAATGTAAACAATGTGAACTTCTACAACAATCTGCAGATGGTGCTGGATCGCCACAAATTCACGGCAAAGGATATTTGGAACGTGGACGAGACAGGTAGGCTATAATCATGAAACTCATGTTAAAGGGTTAGTTCACCCAAAAATGAAAATTCTGTCAGTATTTCCTCACCCTCATGTTGTTCCAACCCCGTAAGACCTTCGTTCATCTTCGGAACACAAATTAAGATATTTAAGATATTAAGATCGCTCCTGCATACAGTCCATAGGCTTCTTGAGGGACTGGCTCTTGCTGTCCTCGAAAAGTCATTAAAGACATCGTTAAAATAGTCCAAGTGACTACATGGGCTCAATCTTAAGTTTATCAAATGACGAGAACACTTTTGTGCACAAAAAAACAACAAAAATAACGACTTTATTTCTACTATTGGTTTATTTCTCCCTCTGCGCGAGTCAGGTTACTAGTTTAATAGCGTAAGCTTCTGTTATTGTACGTCACACGCATCACACACACATGACCAGCGTCGGCCAATAGTGAGCCTACGTGTGACGTAGCTTTACGCAATCACACTACGTTAACTGACTACAGGCTCATGGAGAAGGAAGTGAATAGTTGAAATAAAGTCGTTATTTTTGTTTGTTTTTTGCGCACAAAAGTGTTCTCGTCGTTTGATAAACTTAAGATTGAGCCCCTGTAGTCACTTGGACTATTTTAACGATGTCTTTAATGACTTTTCGGGGACAGCAAGAGCCAGTCCCTCAAGAAGCCTATGGACTGTATGCAGGAGCGATCTTAATATCTTAAATATCTTAATTTGTGTTCCGAAGATGAACGAAGGTCTTACGGGTTTGGAACAACATGAGGGCGAGTAAATACTGACAGAATTTTCATTTTTGGGTGAACTAACCCTTTAATAAATAGATACATAAATAATTAAATAAATAACTAAAGTACGTCAATAAATAAATAAATACAAGTCTTAATATACATATGTGCTAAAGTTAATTTAAAATATAACATTTTATTCAACTTTTAATTAATTTTTGTAGGTATTACCACCGTGCAGGTTCTGGGCAGAGTGATAGCGGCCACAGGAGAGAGGCAAGTAGGAGCAATGACTTCAGGGGAGAGGGGGGCATTAGTTACCATTGCCTTCGCGGGTAACGCACAGGGAAACCATGTCCCCCCATTTTTCATATTCCCAAGGAAAAAATACAAGGACCACTTTGTCAGGGATGGTCCCGCTGGCTCCACTGGGTCTGCAAATGGATCTGGGTGGATGCAAGAGGCAGATTTTTTGCTGTTCCTTCAGCATTTTGCCAATCACACTCGTGTGTCCAAGGAGTCTATGCTGCTTCTGTTGCTGGACAACCACCACTCCCACATTTCTGTAGCAGCAATAGACTTCTGCAGGGCACACGGGATTGTGATGTTGTCCTTCCCACCTCACTGTTTCCACCACCTCCAGCCTCTGGATCGAAGTGTGTTTGGTCCACTCAAACACTACGTGAGTGCTGCTGCAGACCTGTGGATGAAAAACCATCCAGGCCAGCATATGACAATTTATGATATCCCCTCCCTGGTGGCAACAGCACTACCCCTGGCAGCAACAATGAGTAACCTGGTGGCTGGGTTTAACTGCACCGGGATCTGGCCCTTGAATCCGAAGGTCTTCGATAAGGATGCATTTGCCCCTTCATTTGTGACAGATCGTCATCCTCCTCCTCCACCTCCTCCCCCATCACACAGTGCAGACCAGGTGACGCAGCAGGTCCATCCCGGGAATGTGTCGACCCGTGGCCCCACCTCGCCACACTATTTCAATTTTCTGAATTTTCTGAAATTCTCTTAAATATTAAATAAATCAACATAGTAAAAAGATGAATATGACTTGATTTTACTTTCAATTCCTTCTACATTCTCCAAGGTATTGACATTAACATTTTTCATAACTCCATGTAGGACGTTTCTGTCCATAAATGAAAGCACTGTGGCAGTAGTAATGCAATATTTAGAAAATGTACTCTTGAACTCTTGATACTCAAGTACTTTTAAAAATCAAGTACTTCAGTACTTTTACTTAAGTAGCCATCTGACTGTAGTACTTTTACTTGTACTTGAGTAAAATTTAAAAGTAATAAAGCTGTGTACTCTGTCCGCCTCTGACCACAATCCAACATGTCCAAAATGACGCCACCAGTGTTTCGTTTCCCATGTAAAAAGATGACAGAAGTGAGACAGCAGCCATCAATCCTGTAATATCAAGTTCAATGTACAGCTCCCATCCAGCAGACTGAGGTGAAATAAATGAACAATGCAGGCATATTGGACTAAAATGGGCCCAGAATCGTGCCAAAACTAAAATGTAAGTTTTGCAGGATCAGAAAGACAATTCAGACACCAAAGAGGTACTTTTCAAAAATACGTCAATAACCAGTTTGTCTCAAGGGAATGGTTATATTAAAATATGCTCTCTCAAGGGGGACCGTGTTTTATTGCGCTTGCAGGTTATTTTGGACAAAGCAATAACCACTCCGCACTGACAGAAGGCTTTAATGACTGGAAAAATGTAAGATGCAGATCCTTGTGTAAACATAAGGGTTCGGATGACTATAAGGCGGCAATGATGGTTTTGTTCACCGCCGTAATGGAGACAGATTCAGCAAATACACAACAAATTTCACAGTAAACATATCGAAAGATATGGCAATGCTGATCGAGGAAAGCCTTCATATCTTTCCTCAAATACTTGTTTGGAAATCATTGAACTTAGATGGTGCCAGGTGCCATGGTGCTGTAGCAAGAGCTCTTCCATGTGCTGTCTGTTTTACGTTTGTTGTTGTCTTTGACACGCTTGCCACGAGACACTTCTGAGGATTCGTGAGGAAATTTCTGGATTGTCATCTGTTAATACTGGTCTGAGGTGTGCTGATTTCAATGCGTGCCCCACTCGAGGCAAGCGAGGCCAGGAGTCGGGTCGCGGAGGTCGGGAGCATGAGATGACATAAGATGGTCATCTCATGCCCAAGCAATCTAAGCTTTGAACCTGAACAATGCCAAAATTTAGAAATCACTTGTGAACATGGCAAATGATGCTCAGAGGAATATCCCAAATCATGGTGAAACAAGAGAGCTTAACAGAAAAATAAAGAATCTAGAGAATGTGTTTTTGTGGAATAACATACTCCAACTATTCCAGGGAACAAGCACTGCTCTTCGGACAGTTGATTTGGATTTATGTAATGCTGTTGATTTGGTTGGTTCATTGAGGGGTCATGTGGTAAGCTTACGTGATTCATTTGACGCCTTTGAGAATGAGGCAAAAATATGTCTCCAACAGTGTTGCAACAGTAACAATGGACACACAGAGACAAAAACAGAAACATGCAGATGAACCAACAGAACACGAGACGGCTGGACAGTCTACTCAGAAGTCAGAACAGCTGTGTTCGTCACCGTAATGGGCTATATGCACAGCTGCACTACTTCCTGAACTTCAGCCAGCTCTTTGTTTCCTGTCTGCCATTATTGGGCAAAATTGATTAATTCAGGTGTGTCTGATTATTGTTGCCATGACTACTGAGGTCAGGCACACCTGAATTAATCAATATGTCCAATAATGGCAGACAGGAAACAAGGAGCTGGCTGAAATTCAGGAAGTAGTGAAGCTGTGCATAAAACCAATTGACTGACAAATAGAGTCATATCGGACTCTTTAAGAGACATTCGGATTATTGAATAAAATTCAATCCATTTCCCAGCAAGGTCTTTGTGCATCCACAGCTAAGCTTCAAGAGAAATATTTTGATCTGGAGAAAGATTTTGTCAATGAAGTGTGCCAGTGTTGTGTTCTTCTGTGCATATCAGCCAGAAGGTGGCGCTAGTGGTTCATGTTATGTGTATGCTGAGAAGAGTTAGAGAGTCTGAAGCATTCCACCTGCTGCTGCTTGCACTGTTCTGTTATGCTATTTGGTTAATCAAAGAATTCTTTATTTTAGAACGCCTCTGCATTGCTTCTTATCAAGGATATAAATTGGCAACGAGGTACTTTATTCTGGAAGATGGCATGTTTCTACTTTTTGCAATGTCCTGGAGAACCAGCTATACTATTTTGACACGTGACTATGGATGTTCCAGAATTATTTGCTTGTTGATGGTGATTCTGGAGATGCATGGCTGATCGAGCGCAAACGAGCACTGCTTCTACATTGTATGGGGACTGAAGGCCAGAGATTGTTTTATACCTTGTCGAATCAAAGTGATTCAATGGAAGATGGTATTGGCGCTCTATTGCGACCTTGTCCTCCTCGATGGAACAATGTGGCTGGGCACCATGTTTTCAAGAAACGCGTTCAGGCACCAGAAGAAACTGTAATTCAGTACTTAGCTGCCCGACTTAGCGGCTACTTGTGACTGCAGCTACTCTGGACAAAATGTTGCTTGATCAGTTGGTGGAGAATGTGTCGAGTCATCGGATTCGTGAGAGATCTTTTGGAATCTGAATTGACTCTTGAAAAAGCCATTACTATTGCCTCTAAAACAGAGGCTGCTTGTGAACAAGCTCAATTATTGTCAAATACTCGTCCAGTTCCTGTGCAAGTGATATTTGCAAAGCATATTATCCGTCACGTGATTGACAGATTGTGTTAAAGATATAAAAGATTGGATGACGCGTAATTTTCTTTTATTAAATCCAGACAAGACAGAGGTAATACTTATCGGTTCTAAAATCCATCCACAAAACCTTTCGCAGCACGACTTTAACATATTAGGATGCCCTGTTACTTTATCCGCTACAGTTAAAGACCTGGGTGTTACATTAGACTGTAACCTGTCTTTTGAAAAGCATATTTCATATGTTACAAAAACAACCTTTTTCCACCTTAGAAACATTGCTAAGCTACGTAACATGCTGTCTGTCTCTGATGCAGAAAAGTTAAGTTCATGCATTCATGACCTCGAGACTAGGTTACTGTAATGCTTTATTAGGCGGTTGTCCTGCATCCTCAATAAACAAGCTACAGTTAGTACAAAATGCAGCTGCTAGAGTTCTTACTAGATCAAGAAAATATGATCATATAACACCGATTCTGTCAACACTTCATTGGTTACCTATAAAGTTCCGTATTAATTACAAGGTATTGCTTTTGACTTATAAAGCTCTAAATGGTTCAGCTCCAGTCTATTTAACGGATCTTCTATCGCCCTACAATCCATCGCGCTCTTTAAGATCACTACATTCGAGGCTTCTGGTCATTTCCTAGGATATCCAGATCCACCAAAGGAGGGAGAGCATTTTCACATTTAGCTCCGAAGCTCTGGAATAGCCTTCCTGATATTGTTTGTTGCTCAGACTCACTCTCCCAGTTTAAAGCTAGACTAAAGACACATTTATTTAGCCTGGCATACATATACATTTTTTTTTATCTTACAGTTACTTTTTCGTTTTTCAGTGCTGTAACTGGTATTATTAAGGCAGAAGAGAAGATCATGTGCGCTCCGCACAGCTTCTCTTGAGCTGAGCCAGAGCGATCTCACGCCAGAGTACCAAAGAATTTAGTAAGAACATGGACGTAATTTGAAATCTGAAACTTTGTTTCATATCAATAGTAACAAAGCACAAAGACTGGTGTGATTTATCGGATGGCATGCATGCTACAATGTTCCATTCATTCATCAAGTGAAAACAGGATGACTAGATTAATCGATTCTTGGGATTTAAGAATCGATATCGGATGGTAAAAATGAGAATCGATTAAAATCGAAAAATCTATATTTTTTACCCAGCCCTAAATTCTTTACTGTGTTACCAGCACCTCAACCCTATGGGTAGCTATGCAACACTATACCCATAATTATAAATATCCAAATGAGCCTCTCATTTTTTGGACCCAGAAACATACAATACAACATGCAATGCTGTAGTAATTTATTGACGTAGAAAGGAGAAAGAAACAAAGATGATTAAATACACAAAGCCCTTGATCAAACTGGGGTTAAGAATCAGGTGCATTTTAAAAACCATTTCAAACCTTTACTGAATACACACTGAAAATGATAATTTATCTTAAGGATAAAAGGTGGATAGGTAAAATGAAAACAACGAAAAAGGAGCCATATTAGAATAGCTCAAAGAAAATGTAGTTTGGTATTTTGCTTGTAGGATCAGTGGACTGTGGTGTAACATCCTCTCATTCCACTTAATCTGGCAATGAAATCAGAAAACCATTATTAATGCAACATGTCTACACACCATCTCTCTCTCTCTCTCTCCTTTTATTGCTCACCTGAAAACACCTCAACCTCACACAGTGTGAGATGTTCATTGCGCCCAGGAATATAAATGTTGACATATCGCCCCTTAATAGGCGTGAACTGAAATGTTTTTGTCTCTCCAAATGGGATAGACACTACAGTCACAGCCCTGTGAAGACAGAGAAATAGAGATGGGCGTATAAAAACGGCAAGAAGCATATTAAATATAATTCTGTCAAAGGCAAGTTTGCATTAAAATGATTTGTTCAAAGTAATGTTATCTTATTTACTCATTTTCTAACCACCACCAGAGAGAGGCAATACTTACAGCTCATTATTGTTGCCATTATTTTCCAGGCTGTTGCCGATACGGATCTGAGCTCCATTTATCCTCTCTGGGCAACAATCTCCATGATTAGTGATGCTGACCCTGGTTACCTTGTAGACTACCCCCAGGTCAACTCTCCACCAGGGGTCTCTGTCCGCATTAGTCGCACTGCATGACGCCAGATTGAAAATTGAATTCCTGTTTCCATCGACAGCATTCTGAGCGACTGCTTGAGGGTATGTGGAAGACTGAACAGCTTTGGCTCCAAGAGCAAGATTCCCTGTTTAACATCAAATAATAAACAATAACTTTTTACTTTACTGTGCTAAAGTATAATCCCAATAAAATGGGCAAAATAATAGCTAAGCTGTAATACTATTTTTTCACAAATCAATATGTCCATGTAATTATTTATTTGTTTTAAATGACTGTCCAATCACCCTTAAATGTTTGTCTTGCTATGATTATTTTTTTCTTCACAGAAGCTTTACGTTTATCACGAGCAAGTTCATAAAATATTTCAAAACAAATCAATATTTTGTGTCCAAAATGATTTATTTTGTGTCCGGAATGATTTATTTTGTGGCTAAGTAGCCATGTAATAAACTGAGTTCTTGATTACCCTGTCTGGTTTTATTTTGATGTACATTATCCCTTATTGGTAATCAAATGTTCGGTAAGAATATTATATATATTTCAACGTTACTGACAACATTGAAAGTAATAAAGAGCACTCACTTGCACCACAAAGGTACGATGGTGAGTCCATTACTGTTAATAAAATAATAAGTTATACACACATTAATAAGTACAGTATACACAAATTCTATCCCAGTCGTCGCTTTCTGTCCCTTACCTGCAAACACCTCGACTTCACACAGTGTGAGGATTTCATCATTACCAGGTAAAAAAATGTTGACATATCGACCATTAACAGAATCAAATGAAAATGTTTCTGTGCCATCGGGAGCAGTGAGAATAGTTGCAACCCTGCAAATACATAAATAACTGTGTTAAAAGGCTACGCAATACAATGCACATGTCTAACAATTCAACTCAGCTGTCCATCCATCCATCATCTTCCACTTATCCGGGGCCGGGTCGCGGGGGCTGCAGTCTAAGCAGAGATGCCCAGACTTCCCTCTCCCTAGACACTTCCTCCAGCTCTTCTGGGGTGACACAGAGGCGTTCCCAGGCCAGCCGGGAGACATAGTCCCTCCAGCGTGTCCTAGGTCTTCCCCGGGGCCTCCGCCCAGTGGGATGTGCCCGGAACACCTCCCCAGGGAGGCGTCCAGGAGGCATCCGGACCAGATGCCTGAGCCACCTCAGCTGACCCCTCTCGATGTGGAGGAGCAGCGGCTCTACTCTGAGCTCCTCCCGAGTGACCGAGCTTCTCACCCTATCTCTAAGGGATCGCCCAGCCACGCTGCGGGGAAAGCTCATTTCAGCCGCCTGTATCCGGGATCTTGTCCTTTCGGTCATCACCCAAAGCTCATGACCATAGGTGAGTGTAGGAACGTAGATTGACCAGTAAATTGAGAGCTTTGCCTTACGGCTCAGCTCCTTCTTCACCACAACAGACCGGTACATCGACCGCATTACTGCAGAAGCTGCACCGATCCGTCTGTCAATCTCCCGTTCCATCCTTCCCTCACTCGTCAACAAAACCCCAAGGTCCTTAAACTCCTCCACTTGAGAAAGGATTTCTCCACCAACCTGAAGTGAGCAAGCCACCCTTTTCCGACTGAGGACCATGGCCTCGGATTTGGAGGTGCTGATTTTCATCCCAGCCGCTTCACACTCGGCTGCAAACCTCCCCAGTGCATGCTGAAGGTCCTGGTGTGAAGAGGCCAACATGACAACAGAGACGAAATAGCGTGGTCCCCAAACCTGACACCCTCCGGTCCCTGGCTGTGCCTAGAAATTCTGTCCATAAAAGTTATGACCAGAACCAGCGACAAAGGGCAGCCCAGCCGGAGTCCAACATGCACCGGGAAGAAGTCTGACTTACTACCGGCAATGCGAACCAAGCTCCTGCTTCAGTCATACAGGGGCTGGACAGCCCTAAGCAAAGGACTTAACTTAGCCCATACTACCGCAGCACCCTCCACAGGCCGCCTCGGGGGACACAGTCGAATGCCTTCTCCAAATCCACAAAGCACATGTGGACTGGTTGGGCAAACTCCCATGAAACCTCCAGCACCCTGTAGAGAGTATAGAGCTGGTCTAGTGTTCCACGGCCTGGACGAAAACCGCACTGTTCCTCCTGAATCCGAGGTTCCACTATCGGCTGTATTCTCCTCTCCAGTACCCTGGCATAGACTTGGGCAGGGAGGCTGAGAAGTGTGATCCCCCTGTAGTTGGAACACACCCTCCGGTCCCCCTTCTTAAAAAGAGCAACCACTACCCCGGTCTGCCATCCCAGCAGCTCAGCTGTATTGAAATCAAAAGGTTTTTTATAGCACTGCTACAAGAAACAAATATATAATCACAATCTGAATAAAATGTTGAAGTACATCTCCATGGCTGTGGCGATCTTCGGCTGTATTGCCCTAGAGTGTCACTAGACAGCGCTCCACCCCTGCACTGCCTTCCCTGGGACTGTTCACAGCATGCACATACCCTGAACTGATTTCGCACACACCTGTTTCCACTGATGACCCTCTCACCTGCATCGAGTTCCTCGCGCACCTCCACACTCATTTATACCTCATCCTCAGGCCATGTCCACACGGACACGGGTATTTTTATAACCGTGACTTTTTTTACGCGGTTCGGCCGTTCGTCCACACGGAAACGCAGTATCAGGACACTGAAACCGAACATTTTTGAAAACCCCTGCCAGGGTGAGTATTTTCTGAAACGCCGGTTGCAGTGTTGTCGTGTAGACAGTGAAACCGGAGTTTTTGCAGCGCTGACGGCTTCTGATTGGCTAACGTGGCTTTACGGTTAGGTTTATATCGCCGCCTGCTGGTGTTGCATGCTCTTGACAGCGCTTGATAGCGTGTTTTTGCGTTTTTATGCGGACAGAGGTTTTTTTTTAAACGCAGGAGGGAAAAACTCGGTTATAAAAATACCCGTGTCCGTGTGGACAAGGCCTCACTGTCAATGTTTTCGGAGTCGTGGTTTACTGTTGTGGACGTCACCAAGCTTTTCCGAGTAGTCCTGTCTGTGTGTCTGACCATCGCCTGTTTCCTGAATTCCGTTTCGTCTGCCGCCTGCCTCTGTCTTCCCGCCTGGTTATCGGACTCTGAGTATTGCCTTGTGCCATGTGCTATCTGCTATCTGTGACCATAGCCTGACTACCCTGTAAATAAATTCACAATGCGTTTGGATCTACCTGTCTCTGGTTGTTCATGACAGTGGCTCGCTGAATGATTGGTTTGTGGAGGAGGTACAATTTTTCCTCTTGTTTAATTAAACCAGATTGAACTTAATAAACATGGGAAGATGACAGAACAACTGAAACACTTCTTACAGCTCATTGTTGTTTCCGTTGTTGTCCAGCTTGGTACCAACACGAATCTGAGCTCCTCTAAGCCGCTCTTTGCAGCAGTCTCCACGATTAGTGATGGTAACGTTGCTTACACTGTAGACATTTCCAAGGTCAACTCTCCACCATGGATTAAACTCAGTTTTAGTGTGAGTGCACGATTCCTTCTTGTAATCCGAGTCTCTGTTTCCATCGATTGCATGTTGAGCATCTCCCTGTGGGTGGCCTAAGGAGGACTGCACTGCCATGCCATTAAGAGCAAGATTCCCTGTTCAATATATGAAATCGATTATAAAAAGGATAAGACAGGTTCAAAGCTTTACAAATAAATATAAATAAAATCACATTTTCAATTTCCATATTTCAGTATATAATTTTAATAAATGAATCTGATCAAAATGTAATGCTCAAAATGTAATACATGGTTAGAGAAATTTAAATCCAGGCATTTTTACTTATATTATATTATATATACATGTTTGTATTTCTATATATATATATTTGTATATATTGTTCTAAACATACCTTTGGAATCAGCGACGCATTTCCCAGTAAAAAGTGCTAGAAACAAAACCACACGTACTGCCATCCTGATAAAAGACAAAACATTACATCTCAGCATCCGAAGGAATCATTTCTGCTCATTTAAACAAAGAAACAAAGAAATTGCTATTGTAATGATAAAGTAGTATAGGAGACCCTCATGACTTAAAGTCAGTGTAATGTGACTAACCTGCCTTCTAATCTTTGGATTTTAAATGCATTTTCTGAGTTTGCTCTATTTTTATCTTCTACGCCCATGATACTAAAGCCTAGTTCACACTACATGATTTTAAGCCCGATTTGCAAATCGTTGAGCTCGCCGAAAGTTCACGGTGCTATCGTGTGAAATTTGCGGGGGATTAGCGGGTGATGAACGCTTGCCAATCTGTTAATATGAAAGAGCCAACAACTATAGGGATGCATTGGGATTAAGTCCCTGCTGGACCCAACGCAAATCTCACGGGAGTGGGCGGTTTGAACTTTGCTGCAGGCGGGAATGGGCGGCAAAAAAACCCAAAAAACTGCGGGATCGGGATAAATTTAAAAATACTCACATTTCACTCACAGATAATCACATTTTGAAAATCTTATAAGATGTAAAAAATCCTTTGGTGTGTACCCAGCATAAATATTAATAAATTATGTGGAAAAGAACCTCAAACGAGGTATTTACAGGACAGAACCGCAAGGCAAGCCTGACATTATTGTGTGTTTTGTCTTTCTGTGTTCTCCGAGGCTAGCTGCTTTTAGACAGGCTTTCTCCACATTTACTCCAGGACCAATAAAGCCTATGCCGGAATACTTCAATAGCTAAAATCAAAGCAGTTGAAGTCTAAAGAAACGCGCGGTATCCTAAGCGTTAGATGTCCCCGAAAGCCTAGCCAGGCTACTACCCAGATAGCAAACTGACATTGAATCAACGTGGAAATATGACATCGAAACAACGTTGATCTGACATTGTTTTGCTCATCGAATTAACGTTGAACCAACGTCAGAGGCGTCATTCTTTCAAAACTAACGGAAAATCAACTTGAAATCAACGCGTTGTTTCAACGTTATGAAAGCAAACCAATTTTCGATTTCATTTAGCTTTGAAGAACGCCGCGTCTGACGTTGGTTCAACGTTAATTCGATGAGCAAATCAACGTTGTTTCAATGTCATGAGAGACGTCGTTTCCACGTTGATTCAATGTCAGTTTGCTGTCTGGGTATTCATCTTCCTGATCAGTGCGTCAGAATACATGCAGGCCATGGAAACTAACAACCCCATGAATCTCTGCATTGAAAATCAATGCATCTCGATTATTGTGTGGGATTAAATTCTCAGAGTTTTGCGAGTACGG